ATCCCTCTTTCTGTAGCATGGTTACACTAACCTTCATGCTCAACCCACCTCCTCCTCCCGACCCGTCCCAGCTACTCAGCCACAGCAGAGGGGATGTGAGGCCTGGCATTTTTAATCCAGTAAAACCCTTGCTGTTAATCACGCCAGGCAGAGCGAGCAGCCTCCCCGCCTATGCCTGCTGCAGGCTGGATGCTGCTGCTATTTCTGTCTGACCTCCTCAGCCTGCCCCATCCTCAAGGCGTTTCTTACTCTGCCTGTGCTCAGCTGCCCTCCCAGATGGTCAATGAGCTTCTTGAACAAAAGGAGCTCCACTTACTCTAAAGACAAGCAAAGTCCTTCCCCCCATACTTTCTTCTAATTCAAAAGTGCCACTAAAGCCCCTGCCAGACCCCTTACCCTTTTCACCACCTCATTCTGTACCAGCACAAGAAGTCCAGCCCTGGCTGAGATTGCTGCTATGGCGCTACTGCCACATGAAAATGGAGGGGAGGTGCGTACACTGCAGTGAGAAATTATGATGAAGGTCCAGGAAAATTCAATCTGTTGCCTTTGCACTTCCACAAAACACTCTCATTGCTGGGGCGATAAGGTTCTGTCTTTTCTGAAATAGGTTAATATATTGTGTCCTTTTGCAGGTTTGGGTTTGGTTTTTTTTTTTTTAACTCTTTCTTTCTGCCTATGTCTGTCAGCTTTGGGATTTTTTGAAAAGGAGAAATAAAGGCCATTGTATCCAGTCTTGAAAGGATAGATTTAGGGAGGCAGATTACAGTTACCTGGTTTGGGAGTACTCTTGGGTTTTTAATGCCTAGATTGTATGAAATGTGGCCAGAAGAAACTGGTTATCTCTAAAGCTGTCAGACCCAGATCCTTCTCATTACGGCATCTCTCCCAGCAGAGGCAGCACTAAGTAGCCATGCTTGTAATTCTTAGTTTCTGGGAATCGCCTCTGTGCTGCTCTTCACCCAAAGCATGCTCATGCATACTGAATAAGTAGTGTCATAACTGTCTTCCTGACCTTTTCTTGGCAGTCTCCCACCTAAGCACTGAGCAGACCCTTCTTGCTGCAGACCTGACAAGTTACCCTACAGGTATGATGGTGCTGTGGGAGGACAGGATATGAACTTGCATGACATCTCTCCCACTAGTGCCCCAGAGCACATATGACATAGGAGGCAATGTAATGGCAGCATACAGCTCTCTTCCCCTGCCCACTCCTCGGTCTTAAGTAAATTTCAGGTATGTGATGCATATAATGCTATTATGGATGTAGGCACAATGTGTATTTTAAGTTTCAAAAGTTGGCCTTCTGCTTCTCTCCTTTATTTTCAGGCACCAATAGCTTCAGGTATATTGCTGTTTCCCACAGTCACAATTTCACAATTAGATCAGTTGCTTTTACTTAGTCTAAGTGCTTTGTGTTATAGCCAGTGATCAGCACATGCACAAATTATGGGGTGAAAAGGGAGGAAAGACAAAGATGGGAGAAGGTGGTAAATCAGACTAGTTCCTTCAACACATCTTTCTCTGCCAAAGACAATAGCCAGCTAACAATAATGGATTCACCCCTCTCCTTATAAGCCTCCTGCTCAGCAGGATTTTCTGCTTTCCCTTGGGTAGAAGTACAAAGATGTGGAGCCAACTCTGAAGATCAAAGAGGTGGACGGCTTGGAGCTGGTGAAGAAGTTCTCAGAGCAGATGGAAAGCATGCTCCGCAGGAAGGTTGAAGCTGTTGAGGTATGAGCACAGGGGCTATGGGAAGGAAGTCCTCTCCCATCAGCCCCAGAGCAGTAGACGTAGGCCTCCCGCCTGTACCAGGTGTGTGTGGGTGCAGAGGTTGCATGAGGACTTCCTTGCCCCACCAAATATCTGCTGGTGCAGCTGGCTCCCTCTGAGCTTTAAGTAGACACTGGTGGGAGGATGTGGGCGTTCAGACAAGGGAATGCTGGCTTCTCCTTCAGCCGAAAGTAGGAAATAAGATAAAAACAAAGTCTAGGAATAAATATGAGGGAACAAACACTCTTTTAGGAGAAAAGAGGTTTGATTCTATAGCTGTTTAAAGAGGATAAAACCTCTCACAAGTGAAAATAAAGTTCATCCTTGCATAATGCCCTCTGGGCCATTGAAGACTGGTAGCTTGTTTCAGCTGTGTGTGTGGCTCAAGGGAAATTCCTGCAGCCCCTGAACATGAGGTGCTTGAAGGTGCTTGGATTTCAAGATGTGTACACAGGGAAGTGTGGAGGAGGTGGCAAGAGGTCTTTAGCTGTTGCTGTGTTGGAGATCAGAGCAGGTAATCGTTATGGCCCCTCTTACCTCTTGCATCTAAGGATCTATCATATTCTGTTATATTTACCCACTATGAAAAGCATATTTCTGTAGTCACAGAGCCTTGACTGTTTAAGGCGTCTAATGTGGAAAAGTCATCCAGAAACACATAATTTGAATCTCAAAGTGAAATGTGGGCATATTTAGACCCAGAGGTTTGGCCCATAACATTAAATTCGTAGCCAGACTTCTCCAATGTTTGGATTGCCTTATCCTTTGTGAAGGAGCAAAAAGTAGTTTTGCTGAGACTGTTGCTGAAAACATGTACATGTTTAGCTGTGTTCCTTCCCAGTCTGTATCAACTGAGAATTAGTGCCCTGAAGCATCATATTGGAGAATACTAGCGGATTATATTGCCTTCCATAAATGTTAAGAGCTTATAAATGGCCACAGCATCACTGAGCCCTTTATGAAATCGAGTTCATGGTCTTTGTCTTGGTAACAATACCAGACTGAGACTCCCACAAGGCCTTTTCCTTTGACGAGATACTGACACCAGGCTGGGTCTGAAATGCCTTTCCCATGGCTTTTTGGAAGGGCTCGTGGAAAATGAAATTAAATCTCTGGCTGCTGTTTCTCTAAATGGACATGTTTCTGTTTGTATATGTCCTGTGATAGCTAAGATTTCTCAGGGGTTTAGTAGGGTCTCTGGAGTAAGTGGGTGTGAATATACTTGGCAATAAATAGCTGTGAATATACCTTCCAAGCTGTAAAGTTGCAGCACAGAATGACAGGTCAGCAGAAAAGGATGGAAAGAGGGAAGTTTATAGCCCTGTGATTCTGTGTTGTGGTGGAGGCGGCAGTCGTGTGTCTTTTCTCTAACTGTGTGAATGGCTGATACAGCTGTAAGAGCTTTTGGAGGGCTTTCCACAGCACCCCCTCATCCTTCTTTCTGGCTTCTTGCATTAGAGGTTGGTGGAAGCAGCAGAAGATGCAGATCTGAACCATGAGTACAACTCCTCACTGGAGGTAAGTTTATTCTGGTCAGTGACAAAATATGACACGCATACTCACAGAGACTAGCCAAAAGGCAGGCGTAGCTGCACCCAGCCACCTCACGCTCCTGGACAGGTTAGAAGTTTCCTTGTCTTCAGGACACTCAGCTTGTCTAGAAACTAGTGTAAGAGACTCCCTTGGCAGTTTCCAAACCTAGTAACACCAAGGAGATTAGTCCCTTTGGCTCCAATCCTAGTAACACCAAGGAGATTAGTCCCTTTGGCACCGGGAAGGGAAGGATTTGGGAAGACATTGGTTTGCATGATGTTATTGGCATTACATTTACTGCACGCCAGCGTTGCCATTATGTGACATGTTAGTGCAAATTAGCTGGTGCTTTGTGGGTTACTTGACTGGAAAATGAGCTAAAAATTGAGTGTGTATGAGCAACGAGGAGGATGCTGTTACAAATACCCACAGCACACAGTTAATCCCAATGAGCTGAGTTTCTTCACTATCTTTCTCAACAGCTCCCATCATCTTTGGTCTACCCTACAGACACCCACTTGTCAGGACTTCCCTTTAGGTGAAAGTTTGCTGCTATCCAAGCAATTTGGATAATTGGCTTTCTGTTAATAACTGTTTGTCGTAGCCAAGCTACGGGATTGTTGCTGGTGAAGGGAACTGGAATGAAAACTCTGATGACGGAAGTCCACTGTCCACAGTACAAGCACAGAGTGCTTAGCTGCAGTACAGGCTACCTCTGCAAGTTCACCTCTTCATGCTGGGAAAGGGTGGGAATGAAAACACTTCTTGAAATCAAGCTAGCTACAAATTTCACCTCTCCTACCTCTTTATTTAAGAAACACATTACAGTCATGCTACTTGGGTCATAGAATCATAGAATCATTTAGGTTGGAAAAGACCTTTAAGATCATCAAGTCCAGCTGTTAACCTAGCACTGCCAAGTCCACCACTAAACCATGTCCCTAAGTACCACATCTATACATCTTTTAAATACCTCCAGGGATGGTGACTCAACCGCTTCCCTGGGCAGCCTGTTCCGGTGCTTGACAACCCTTTCTGTGAAGAAATTTTTCCTAATATCCAATCTAAACCTCCCCTAGCAGAACTTGAGGCCATTTCCTCTTGTCCTATCACTTGTTACTTGGGAGAAGAGACCAACACCCACCTCACTGCACCCTCCTTTCAGGTTATAGAGAGCGATAAGGTCTTCCCTCAGCCTCCTTTTCTCCAGGCTAAACAACCCCAATTCCCTCAGCTGTTCATCCTATGACTTGTGTCCTAGACCCTTCGCTAGCTTTGTTGCCTTTGTTTGGACACGATCCAGCACCTCAATGTCTTTCTTGTAGTGAGGGGCCCAAAACTGAACATTGTATTCGTGTCAGCTGCATTCACAATAAAGGTCATGGGTGAGTTGAGGTATAGTGACTCCGTATTCGCACACATAATCTGCACCCCCTGAGTACTGTAAGTGCTTGAACATAAATCCTTAAATAACCTCTGCCTTCAGATAAAGTCAACAAAAACATCTTAAAAACATCTGTTATTTAAGGGTGAAGAGTGTCCTGAAGATACTAAAGTGACGGTAGATGCTAAATCCCCAGTGGCCTTCAGAGCAGGAAAACTGTGTTGTCTTTGAGCACCTTCTGCTCTATTCTTTGCTCTTCACGAGTACCTGCTGTGTGGAGTGACAGAGTGAGGGAATAATCCTGGCTGGATGTACATCAGGAGTTAACTAGTAAATGACAGCTGTAGAGACAGAGCAAGTAAAGGCAGCATCAGCATGCCCTGTAGCAAACCTGGGAGCCAGACCCAGTGAGACACTCCACCTCTCTGGCTACTCACTTAAATACCTCTAAGGGACCACAGGAGTCTGCCACTGTGTCCCTTTGCTCTCAGGTGGCTCTTCTGCTGCCAGTTATGACCATGCTTTCTGTCATGTGGGCACCTGACAATAAGAAACTGAGCAGAAACCATCATTTGGGCAACTTGACATTTTTCAGTTGGTAATGGCTCTTGTTTGCTGCTCATCTTGATCCTATTTGAAGCCCAAATTCTCCAGATGTCACTTTTTTATGTTTTAGAGTGGGTTTTTTTCAGGCAGTACTGGTAATTGTCTTATTCTCTCTTGTTGCCTTTTCCATTGTCTTCATCAACAGTTTGATTACTACAACTCTCTCCTGATTAATGAGAAGGATGAAAATGACAATTATGTGGAGCTTGGAGATGAATTCATTTTGGAGCCAAATGAGCATTTCAATAACCTGCTGGTGAACACAACATACAGTGATATCCAGCTCCCCACAAATGTCTACAACAAAGGTAATGGCCTCTACTTTCTCACTACTAGTAGATTGCTGTGGAAACTACCAGTAAAAATACTGAAATTATGAGAATAGGAAAAAAAAAAAAGACAGAAAAGAAAGCAGGGCTGGAAAGATACTGTCCCAGGGCATGGTCATATGTCTGTGCTGTAGTCTGTCACTGCTACAGGGCTTAGGTGTAATCTGCTCTTGGAAGACCTCTAATGATGGACAGTCCTCCATCTTAGGCAGGCAGTATAATCTCCTAGGGTTCATCTACCCAACCAAAGATGCTGTGAAATAAACTGTGATGTGAATTCATTGGCAATTGTTACTCTGTACAAAGGGTCGGATATATTGAGGTTTTTAGGTGTCAAGGATCTCATTGATTTCAACTGAGAATTTAGACCCCAAGTACCTTTGTGTTATGAGGCATGAACACCTCATGGGGACACTCTTAACCCCCAGTGAGCATATCCGTAGGGGACTGGGGGTAATTCACAAATGCTACTGGGGCATGGCTGTTCTGGGCTATTTTCCATTCTCAGCAAGCCTTTGGCACTTTGGCAGCTGCAGGAGTCCAGGGAGGCACCGAGGCTCACATGGCCTCATCTGTGCCTGGACTGTGTCCTCTCCCCCTGCACATTCACACCACTCCAGCTACACACCAGAAACTGGTCCCTCTCTTGTCAGCACACTGCCAAATCTGCAGGCTGAGACACCAGTTGTGACTGTCCTAAGTTTACTGCTCTTTTTGGCCAACATTTGAAGCTGCCTGAACTGGCTCCTTCCCTGCCTCCCTTTGCATATGTTTTGGCAATGAAAAAAAGTGCCATTACTTCTCTCATAGATGGAGCTCATTTACAATCTTCAGGACCAGATGGGGCAGGCACTGGTGGCTGTGCTCACAACTGCTACGTTATTTAGAGGGACAATAGAGGCAGTTCTATTTCTCCCATGATTTTAAATTAATTCCATCTGGTCTGACAGCCCCAGACACTAAAATCTTGCTCACAATAGAGCCACCAGCAGAGCTGGCTGTGAGTAGCTACAGCAGAGCTACACAAAGTAGACTGCTGCCTACAGCCCCATACAGAAAGAGGTGGCCAAATGGCCACTGTCAGAGACAGCAGAGAGGCACTGCCCAGCTAGCTGATTTCTTGCCTGTACAGCTTGGTACAAACCACCCAGCGGCTCCGGCTATGGCTGGAGGCGGAGGAGGAGGGCTGCTTTCATGCCCAGGGCTCTTCCCGGGAGCCGTGCCTGGCAGTACTCACTCCCTTTCTGGCAAACAGCAAGCCTGGCTCTCCACAGCTCTTCTGGCTCCCTTCCTTCATGCATTACTTTGGCCTCATCGCTGGGGAGTCATAGTTCAATTTTTCCCCTATTTTGACCAAAACCGCCTTTAGTAAGTGACTAAACAGGAAGTGGCAGGTCAAAGCCCCATCCATTTCAATGTTAATACAGTTAATCCTACAATGACCAGTTTCTTATAATTCCCTTTTTCTGTTGCTGCTGCTCTGTTTGGTCTCCTGAGGCAATGAGTCAACACAGACACCAAATATACACTGCCTCTTACGAGTTCTTGCAAGTCCGCAACTTCCTATTGATTCTGATGAAACCAGGGGCAAGGGAGGACAGCTCGGGCTTTGTGAAAGAATGGGCAGGCAAAGAAGAAAAGAATGAATTGTTGGGGAAAAGAGAGGAGGGAGAGAGAGAGAAACAGCACGTAAATCCTAGAGCTCCTTTGTCTTAAGTAATGACATCTAGCATAAATTTAAACACTCTTTGTAGAAAGGCTGTTCCACTTAGTGGTGCATCAGGCAGTTGCCTTACAACAGCCACATGTCCCCTCTTAGCTGAGTCCTGCCTGTGTGGTGTGCCAGTTGTGCTCAGCACAGTGCTGGTTTTCCTGGGTCTCTGGGAGCTATCTTCCAACTAGACGTAACGCCCAAGGGTAGAAAAGGCTGGAAAGAGAAATGGGGATAATAGCGTATGACCAAGCTGAGATCACCTGTAGAGGTCAGTGGTGACCTGCCCTCCAGGATTCACTTGAATGATCCAATTCCCTGCCCAGTTTCAAAGCTTTGGAGAAGACTGCATTCCTCCTAGAGCTGTCTTTGCTCCCGCTCCCTCCCTCCATCGGGGGTGGTGGGTGCTCTCCCCTTTTGCACACTTTTTTCTCCATTTTTCTATTCTTTACCCCACAGACCCTGACATCCTGAATGGTGTTTACATGTCAGAAGCCTTGAATCCTATTTTTGTGGACAATTTTGAAAGGGATCCCACGCTGACCTGGCAGTACTTTGGCAGCTCCACTGGATTCTTCAGGCTCTACCCGGGTAAAAGAGCAGAGATCGGCTTCACTCTTTCAGCGCAACAAAACAGTGTTGCAGGACAGGGTCCATGCCATGGTAGAGCCTAATCTGGGAAGGTTGGGGGCAGCATGGCCCCATGAAGGTCAGGGTGCAGTGAGCAAAATACTCAGTATATGGGCTGCTGACGCTTAGGCTGAAGGAATAGTGTCCACAGCAGGCACAAATCCCTTTTTTCCCCACATGGACCAGCCCCCCAGGCATGTTGCCCTTGCAACCCCAGAGGAGTCTGCTTGCAGGGGTGTGCCTTGGGCAGGCTGCCCTCCAAAAAGCTCGCAAAACACCATGGCAGGACCTGCAAATCTCGCAGGCAGGGTGCAGAGGCTGCAGGAAGGCTCCCTGCCTCATGCTCCCCTGTGGTTCCCCAGCCTCTCTCCATCTCCCAGGCCACACATGGCAGATGCAGCTGGCCAGCCTGACTTGTTATCTACTCACCAGCTGCGAGCGGCATGTAAGGTCACGGCGCAAGAGGGAGGCCCTGTGCTCGGAGGAACCCATGAGATCCTCTGCAGCTGTAGCTTGGCCTGGTGGCCTTTTCATCAGATGGCTGCATGCCCTTGTTCTGTGACCTGTCACGTGTTGTGGAAGGGGAAAACAGAGATGACTGTGAACAGAGCCTTTAGCAGGAATCTGGGACATGTCCCTGTCACTGCTGCTGCTTTTTTATGCTCTCAACCACCCTTGGGGAGAAAAAGACGTTGTTGAGAACTATATCAAAGTGGCAGAAAGTTCCAAGAAAGTGCAATTGCTCCCCAAATTTGAACAGACGATGCCTAAGTACATTTTTTAAAAGAAATTTAATAAACAGTTTACTGAGAACTGCCAAAGACCATGCAGCTCTGCATGTATTTCTGCAGAATGGCTATTGCTCTTGCTGGCCAGACTTGCGTGCCCCCACAGGGTAGCTGGGTCTCAGCAGTGAACAACAGAAGTATGGGTGCCTGAGGAGGGGGGAGCAGATGCCTGCCTGTCTGCGTGTGTTGATTGCTCCTTTTGCTGCTTCCTTCAGGAATAAAGTGGTTACCAGATGAGAATGGAGTCATCTCCTTCGACTGCAGGAATCGTGGCTGGTAAGAGTTTTGGAGAAACTTGGCCAAAGTATCTTTCAGTCTTCCTCTCTCCCTCTTTTCCAAGGTGACACCTTGGTGAGCTGCTGATCAGCAGTTACTGTCCCAGGCTGCTCCTGCAAGAGATGAGGGGTACGTAAATGAAAACAATAGCAGGTTAGGAAGCCCTACCACCTGCCAGCGCCAGCTTTCCATACAGCATCTAACATGTGCCACATGGAAATCACCACCACCACTTCCTCTGTTCCACCCTCCTTATAATACTGTAACCAGAGGGACGGGGCTGTACAGACTCCAGAAATGTGGGGCGTTTACTCAGTCTACTCAGCATGGCTAAAGGAGGCTTTAGCAATTGTCACTCTTAGCTGAATCTGGACATACGTCTGCAGCAGGTCCAGCACTTGAGGGCCAGCCAATGAGGGAAGTGGGATGCTGGGGCCAGCGGGAGAGTCAGGTTGGGTAGGAAAGGACCCATCAGATGTCCAGCCTGACCTTGCTGGATAGTTGTGCTCATGGTGCATGTTATGCTGCAGCTACCATCACGTGACAGCAACGTGCCCGGCATTTCTCCTCCCCATATGCTCACCCTGCTTCCTTGTATTCTTTTTATAAAGGTACATCCAAGCGGCCACCTCTCCCAAGGACATTGTCATCATTGTGGATGTCAGTGGGAGCATGAAGGGCCTGCGGATGACCATTGCCAAACACACCATCATCACCATTTTAGATACTCTGGGAGAAAATGACTTTGTCAACATCATTGCAGTAAGTATGTCCCATTTCCAGTGCTGAGTTGTCTTCCTTGTTCCTCATACCAGCCTTTCAGTCCCCTTAGCAAACTACAGGCATTACAGTGGCATAACAATAACACTTAGTACCTATGCTGGATGGGGGATTAACCTATGCTGGATGGGGGATTAAACCAATTACCCTTGGGAAGTCAGCTTCATGTGGTCAGCAGGGTGGCTGCTAAGTCATCTCACCCCCCCATGGCGGTTGTCGGCTGCATCTTTTTTGCCTATTTAGGGATGTGACTGCAACAGATAACAAAGTGCTGCAGAGAGGGACCTGAGCTAATAAATTTGCCTAGCATAACATAGCATAATACTGTGTTTGGGTCCAGTAGTGGTATAATTCTCAGGATAATGTTTCCAGGCTAGAAAATTACTACCATATGCCTTTTTGTGCACCAGGATTGCAAGGCTGCAATCCAGTTCAGAGTCAATCTGCACAGGCCTGCACGGAGCTTGGTCAGGTTGCCTTGGTGTTACTCTCTTCCTTTTTAAGCCCTGGCCAGGATGAGGATGGGCTGGTTACACACAGAGAACCAGCACCACTGACCACAGAAAGCAAAACTTTTCCATGATCCATGCCAAGACCAGGGGGTTTGGTGCCAGGTTCAAGGCAAATGACAGCTCACCTCCTAATTTTCAAAGCTAATTCAAGCACCATCTCTTTTGCCAGGGTCCTGTCTAAAAAAGTTCACCAGGGCATGGTCACTGAGATATAAAGTCTACTTTTTGTTGATCACTTGTTATTGTGTAAGACAGTTAGACGCTCCAGTGGTGACAGCTCTCTCTTTATATGGCTGGATAGGTGGAAGGGTGAACAGTGTTGGCAGAAAAATGGAGGGAAGTCGTTAAGGAGTTTGAAATATCATCTGTTCTTCAAAAACAGTCCCAGAGAGAGGATATAATATATATTCCTTTACTGTACTTGCATCAAGAACCTACTGGCCCAGACACATTATAGCCTGACCTAAGCTCCTATTGATCAGCTGAGCATCGGTGGCCTCTTAGCCATGCTCTTATCAATTATGCTCTTCTGAACCTTGCAGGAAAAGGGTTACACTGGCATGTTTTACCTCACATATGTATCAGGCTAGAAGCATACACTCCACTAATTATCACAGTTTGGTGGATATGTGGTAACTTCATATGTTATCACTCAGCCGTGCACCAGGGGCATTAGACATTGGGCTTCAAAACCACTTGCAAGGTTCAGCTGGCGACTGGGGACTTACAAAGTCTCCAGAAGTGAAAAATATGTGCAAATAGTGCTAGAAGAAAAGCCAGGCGCACAAGCTAATAGAGTGTGGAGAAAATATCTACAGTGTGAGTGAAAAAAGAAGTAACTTTGTGTGTCTAGATATGCCCAGATAGAACCCAGCAAAATGCCATAATTAATGCATTATTTAAACAAATGTGAGATTTATCAAAATCATAATTTGCCATGATCACTACAAATAATTCTTAAGGGAAATATATATAAAATGGCATAATGCTCCATGCTGTTTTCTGAACATCCACCTAGGATGTGAACCCGTTTTGTGAATTTTCTCCCATTACAACCCCTTTCTTTTCATTTTCTCTTTGCAGTACAATGATTATGTTCATTTTATCGAACCCTGTTTTAAGGGTATACTGGTCCAAGCAGATAGAGATAACAGAGAGGTGAGTACCAGGCTCCTATCGACATTATTTGGGTAGCTTGCTTAATGTAAGCAGTACACGGAGTTAAGATGCTGTGACATGAAACTCCAGGGACAAGAAACAACCACCTCCCAGAAGCATGTGGGTTTGCATTTCAGAAACAAGCACCAGTTCGGTGGTGTGCGCTGGCTTCGTGGTTCACTTTTGCTTACACAAAGCCCCTGTAACACAGGGTCGTCTGGGTACCTAAACAGCAGCAACCAGCTTCCATGTGTCACAACAGACTTGGCACCACCGCTGCCAGAGCACGAGTGGACCTGGCCCAGACTGCTGTGGCAAAACAGCGTGCAGAGGGCAAAGGTTCTCCATCATTGAAACTCCACATCCTCAGTCCTCAGAAAGGAGAAAAATCAGCCCTTTCCCAGTGAAGGCATTCTCAGCCTGGCCTGATCCTTTGCCAGGATGGACTGCCAGCAAGATTTCTCTCATGAGGGGTTTTGAAGCTCTGATCCAGGAGGGCTCAGCAGCCCCAAGGTGGTCAGCCTGCATCCAGCTGCTCCACCACCTTCTGAGCTGACTTGTATTTTTAGCTCTTCTTACTGGGTTTTTTCTCTTCCTTTTTCTCTCTATATTAATACCACAGAGGTAGCACATCCCTCCATGTCTTCAACAACCAGATATCTCTCCAAATTTCTTTCCCAGCTTAGCCCTGGGTTACCGAGTATGACTCCAGATAGTGATGTCTCCTGCAGTGTTTCCCAAAGGATCCCCAAGCCTTTTGGACACTGTCTTGTGGAGAACGCTCCCTGGGGGTTTCATTTACAACCAGATCAATGCATCTTAAGTAGTAGACAAGCATTCAATTTTTTTCTTTTTCCCAATCCTGTTGCTCTTGCATGCACAGGAATGGGTTTTTTTTCCTGAAGGGGTGGATAAAGGAAAGTCTGATTTCTAATGGTTTTGTCCCTTGCATGATGTTCCACGGACTGCCAACAGTTCACAGCCCATAGGCTGAGAAACGCAGTCCTGTCGTGGCTGCGTGGGCAAAGGTGCAACATGATGGCACTACCGATGGAGCGGCCACTTGACTTTCCCACCTCCATCCATCACAGTGCTGCACTGCCCTGTCAGCAGTGGTGAAGGATCAGGAGCCCAATGGCACACTTTTCCAGGTTACCCTTTCCTCCACTGGTCGAAGGGAGCACCCTGCCTGCAACTCACTGCTGCCTTTTTCCGTCTCTTCTTGCCAGCACTTCAAGCAGCTGGTGGATGAACTGCAGGCAAAAGGAGTGGGGACTGTGAACAAGGCTTTGACAGAGTCCTTCAAAATCCTGAGGGAGGTAAGAGAGTCAGTGCCTATGCTTGCATTGGGCACAAGTGTCCCTGCCCACCCCTACCTTCCCCTTTACATCTAATGGCTTAGCACATCCCTCATGGTGCTGCAGGGGGGAGGTGGTATAAGCTGATCTCATGGGCCCCAAATTTGTGACAAGCAGTGTGCAGGGGTGACCCAGCTTTGGGGAGGTGTTGATTTGTGCGTGATGCCCTGGGGCTACTGATTCCTGCCCAGGAGGGATCAGGAGCTGGCAAGGCTGTGGCCTCATGAGTATTTCCTTAATAAGCCCCACAACTGGGCATCGCCCAGGCACCTTGGTTATAGACGGTGATGATAAAATATAACCAATCAGCTGAGGGCAACAATTCTGGTCGTAAGTAATGTTATTAGTGAGCTTTGGTAAGCAGATGATTCTCAGGCTTCAGATTTATTTCAATGTCACTTTACTGAGTATCAGTGCTTTGGGAAGAAATCACAAGTACAGGACAATTAATCAGCCAGTCTGATCATGTCCTGTGATAAGAATCATAAATGATTCATTGCCTACGTGAACAATTGGGACTTCAGTAGCCTGGAGGTAAACATACAACTTAACTCTGTTTCTTAAGGAATGTTAACAAAAAAAGGACGAGAAACCAGCTGAACATCCCTACTTCCTCATGGCACTGTCTATAGCGGGGCTGGCCTAAAGATGCCAGTGCCTTTGGTGCTGACAAAAATATGCACACGGTATGATGCTGGTGGCCATAATGATGGTGTTGATGTTAAAGGTAGTGTGCTAGAGGTATTTACACCCTTGGAAGGATTCTCCACTCTTACTTATTTTACAAACTGGAAGTTTAAGTTTGTTGGCTATGGTAATGCTGTTCCTAATTTATGCCAGTGCAACCATGATCAGAGTTGAACCCAGGGATTGTGGTAGCCGAGCTGACTTGTCAGTGGTAATAGAACCATAATGGTTTTAATGGCAACCTGAGAAGAGTGTGGTGCAGCCTTGGCATTGCAGTAATGGGCTGGCAGCACTTCTAGTAACAACGGTTCAACATCTTTGGAGGAAGATAGTTACTGAGATGACCAGGAAAGCAGTAATGATATAAATCCAGCACAATTACATGGACTAGATGCCTGCCAGATTTATCTACATGTATCCTTGCACTTTATGACAAAATTAACTTTATCTTTAAAACCCAAGATCCCAAGCCTATATAGGCCTGTGTTGTATAAATCAGAATATTTAAACAAATTTTCCATCAGAGGAAAAATGATTTCTTAATATCTAACGTAGCACTGGTTATGTGCAGTGACAACAGATTGAAGCAGCCCAATGCAGTACAACCGCAGACTCTCTCAATCAGCATAGCTTTGAAGGTCTCAGTGGAGAATAATGGAGCATAACCCTAAAGAAAGCCTGCTTGCACCAGCTGAAAGAGCAGCTGGTCATGCCAGGCACAGATGCCAAAACTAGTCTGGTTCCACTAATGTGGAGACCTCACACCTCCTTTCTGGCAGGCATGGCTCACCCACTAGACTAGGCAATCCTCCAGGAGGCAGGATCTTTATAAAACCCTGCATACTTTGAGCCATGGGAAATAGAAGGTACGTGATGGAACAGCTGAGACAGGAAAAACTGTCCTCCACTGACATAGTTGGACCAAAAATGCCTCCAGAGTAATTTGGAGGCAAAACCCAGTAATTTTGTTGTCAAAGAAAGGTGTGAAACAGTGCTACTATATACCTCTTCCGCCTAACTTTCCTTTCCTAGTGACACTGGTTGCAGCTTTCTCGGGGTATCATTCACTGTAGCATGGACCACAATTGCCTCCTCTTTAGCAAAATGGGACCTCAGTCCAAGGTCACTGAAGCCATCAGCTGGGAGCCTTGTTTGCAGCCAGCTGTGGGACAGCTGCATGTGCAGCAGGAGGCCTGCAGGACCTCCTGCAAGTCACTTCGCAGCTTTGTTCCAGGATTTCTGTCTGCCTGGTGACATTCAGAAGAGACAGAGATTGTGTCTCAGTGCACACACGGCAGCACCAGAGGCTGCACATAAATAGGCATGCAAGTGTAGAAACATGCCCGCTGTCCTGCAGCAGCCTTCCCCAAACTGTAGCTTCCCTGGTAAGGGCTCATGTAGAGAGTGTCTTGATATCACTGGCTGGAGGACCCCACGCTCTGCAAGTACCACAGCTTAAGGCAAAAGGGTACCACCTGCAAAGTGCTCATATGCTTTAAGGACTCTCTGAAATCTTCTCTTGGAGCTTCTTAGATCTATATCAGTAATAGGGGAGGAAAACTGTTTCCATCAGTGTGCCCTGAAACAAATCTGTGCTGCTGCAGTCATGCAGGTGGAAGAAGGGGGAACTTTGGTGGAATTGGCCACCCCCTTTCCATCAGACAAAATTCACATTCTCAGTGTGTAATCGCAGCTGTTCCTCACAGACTGTCCTGTTATTGTTCACAGGAGCATACACAAGACAATGAAAATGAAAATTGCTACATCACACTGATGAAACAGGCTTTGCTGATTACAATAGACAACCAGTAATAATATCTGTAATGAAAGTGACTGCAAAATTTCCCTGGTAATTTTCCTCAGTCCAATTGCTCGTAGAATTAATAGCCCAGTAGAGACCTACTCAGTGAGGTATGAGTAGCAGAGAGGGGTTGAAGAAGAGCATGATCTCTCACCATCTTTGTTTTCCTCCATTACGTTCTGGGGTAAACAGGGCATATTTTAATCCATGACGCAATTTGCAGAACAGCTTCAGGAGAACAGTTAGCCAAAGCCTCCCCTGCCCCTCTCTGCCATGCTCAATAAACCACTTAAACTCTCTAGTTCAATTTAGCCACACACCAAGTGGTTTCAACAAAATATGCGTCCCAGGGAAACCATGGTCTTCAGCATAAATTTATAAAGTGCTTCAAAATTCTCAGGTGTCAAGTGCTATCTTTTGAGCTCCTTTCTTGTTTATCAAGTTTTAGTCTATCTCACTGCCATCTTCTCTTCTTTGTTTCAACAAGCTTGGCACGTCTTGTGCTCTTGCCCTTTTCCTGTAGGACTTAGACCCCTTTGTTCTGGCCACTGCTCTGCTCATGGCTGCTTCCAGGCTGCCTGCCTTCCCTGAAACACCATCCTCCCAACAGCATGTAAGTGCTGCAGCTGAGAGCTATCAAGTGCTAAGCAGAGCAGAATAATTGCTTTCCTTGTTTTACACACCATAGTCCTCTTAACACAGCCTAAGACAACAGCTACATTTCTTCAGACACTGTCACACTGTTAATTCCTAGCCAGCTGATCTGCCTTTGCGATATTTGTCTCCAGCCAGTATTCAGTCTCCTGCTTGGTATTTGAGCCTCTGACTATCCTTTCCAATGTACATCAATTGTAAAGATCTTTACATATTTTTACACACATGCCAAATATATGTGTGTACATATATACATGTGCCAACACCCCCCCCCCAATCCTAAAAGAGTCATATATATATTCATGTATTTGTTATATATGAATTTTTTAGGATTAGATAGTACAAAATCTGTGACTTATGGGTCCTCCTTTCTCAGGATCTGCTCAGAGTAAGTAGGTATTTTGAAAGCTGATGCTTTTCTGACACTGTGGAGGAAAAGAAACCCCAAGTTCTGAGGCCACCTTGGAATGATGTCTCCTCTTAACACCAAGCTGGTTTAATGGTGCCTTGACTCACTGCTGAACTCAGAAATTACATAAATTTTGAAATTAACTATGAGTAGGTCATTCCAAAATGGCTACAGGTGAAAAAAAATTGTGAAACTGGTAACAAACTGGATTTCAGTGAGATCTAAAATTCTGTGTAACTTGAACAAACTGGTGCCCTAAAAAGAATGAACCTGTCTGCTGATGTGAGTAATCAAAGGAGTTTGTGGCCTCTTATGCCCTACCTGTGTGGGGAAGCATTTCATTTGAGCACTCACAAGAGGACTGTTACTAATTTTTCTGGCAACATGCTAGATGTTTAAGGACAATTTACCCATCTAGTTTCCTCCCTTCATGTAACACGTGTTTTCTGTTGATTTCCTCTTCATCCTTTGGGATCTCATACAGTCCCAGTCAGGTCTCAGCCCATGAGGCAAGTAGTTCAGCAACACTTTTTGCAATTCTTTCCCTTCCTGCTG